ACGCCTCCGCCGTCGCCACCCCCGCCTCCATACCCCTCCCTTCCTCACCGCCCTCCACCTACCTCCCCAGCTCCGTCTCTACCTCCCCCTCCTTCCCTTCCCACAGCTCCTCCGCCTCCACAAACCTCTTCTACTCCCTCTTCACAACCGCTCTCTCCGCTACTACTCCCCACCCCTACCCGCACTCCGCGAACCCCAATCCTTCCCCCTGCCATCCCAGTCGCCAGCTTCCCCCCTACCATTTACCCGCCGCCGCCGCCGCCTCTGCCGCCGCCAGCTACCCCTACCCCGTGCACGGTCTGCGCCTACCTCACCCTCACACCGTCCAGCCCCATCTACCCGATCAGCATTACGACCGAACAGTGCGACAACTTCGCGGAGATAATTACTGCTGACGTCAGCTCACAGGCCGAAATGGTGGCTGCCCCTCTGCTCGACATGCCGTACACCACTTCCTGCTCCGAAACCCAGATCAAGGTCTGCGGCACCTTCAAAAGCGCAGTAGAAACCGCCAGCCTGCAGACCTGGGTCACGAGCCGAGTGGCTCACTGGCTGTCGCTCGCCACCGGCGACAGCAGCAGCGGCAGCGGCGGCAGTTGCCCGGCCTTTCTGTACGGCTATCGAGTAACCGTAACAGTTGGCGGCGATGGGCAATGGCCCACCATACCCGCCAGCTGCTTGTCTGCCAGCGTGTCGACTGTGTGTGAGGCCCAGCCAGTTCCCTACCCCAAATGCGCGTAAGTGCGTGAGATCTCTAATACAAGGCCCTAGGGTTGAGATTTGCGGTTGGTGGTTAGCGGTTGGTGGTTGTTGTGGGGGGTTGGCGTCAGAGGAGGAGGACGACGACGGGGGAGGCCACCGAACTGCCCGTGGGCCGGAATCCCCGGGGGGGGGAAGCCGTCCTGGACCGCACCACACGGTTATCCGTACTGTACGGGTTTTATGTGTCACCATGTTTTATATAACCCTGGTCCTCTCTGCCTCTTAAGCCTTTCTCACTTCCGTACACGCACACGTACACGTCGAAGTTCTCATACACCGCATGCCATGCGGGGTTAGATTATGCTTCCCCCCTCTCTTTCCCCCTTGTTTTCTCGCCCTACCGCCTGCCCCCCCACATCCCCTGTTGCCCTTCTTGAGGAGATGAGCCCTATTCACTAAAAGGTGAAGTTCGCTCCACCTTACCCTCGGCCCCCGTGGTGTTGCAGGACCGTATACCCAGCTCTCGTAGGGGACGTTCAACATGCGCCCCCTTCGCGCCCCTGGCCCCAATCCTCAATGCCCCTCCACCCCTCCTTGCTGACCAACCCCCCAACCCCCCAACCGCAACCCCCCCAGGTGCAACTCCAGGCCCCGCGCCACTCCCTTCGCCGCCATACCCCTCATCTTTAAGGCTCCGGGGCGCACGAGTTCTACCACATTGTACTGCTTTACAACTGATGTCATCAGTCCGTACTCTTCGACCGTAAGTACGGCACATCGTACATGGTCGTACAGTACAACTTCTATTCCCCCGGTCGCACGTCATCGTCTTGCGCACGGGCAGGTTTTGCTGCAGATTTCCAAGCACGCATAACCCTCCTCCAACTTCGCAGGGAGGCTCTAAAGCTCCCTACATTGCACTGCATGGAAACTGCCCACCACTTCTTTTCCTGCCTTCCTGCTTTCCTGTCTTCCTGCAACTTCCCGTCCCCTCGGGCCTCCCCCCTCTCCATCTCTCCCTCCTCTCCATCTCTCCCCCCTCTCCATCTCTCCCCCCTCTCCATCTCTCCCCCCTCTCCATCTCTCCCCCCTCTCCCCCTCTCCCCCTCTCCAAACTTGCTCCAGGGAAGCTGCGGCTCCAGCACCACGCTGCTGAAGGCGGAGATATGGGCCAACGAAGCGAAGCGGCGCAAGGTGGTGGCCATCGCCGTACAGCCCGCCAACTCGACCGATCTCACCTTCCATGCGCCGACCTGGGGCGCCGTGGGCGAGCAGACCCTGAAGGCTACGCCGCTGATGTGGGACCTGACCCAGGCCAACGGCGGCAAGATCTGCCTGGAGCTGGACAAGGCCACGGACCTGGGCTCGTTCTGCAACAACGTCCCGGGCTCACCGCCTACTTGCTGGTGAGTCTGACGGAGAGCTGACGGAGAGCTGATGGCTAAGTGTTGTCGTGATGTGTTGTCGTATTATGGGTTAGCAGTGAGTCCGCTGATTGGGAGGGGGGTCGGGAGGGGGAAAGGTGGATGGGGCTGGACGACATACATGCGGTTGGAAACGGCAGAGCAGAAGGACCTTGTTTACGCGAGGGGGACTTGGTAAGGAAACTTTGGTACGAAACTCTATGTGAGTGCGTGTCTCCCAGAACTCCTTTTATTCTTTTTGCACGTATGGACCATTGTGCTTGTCTGTGTGAGCTTCGAGCGGTACCGCCTTGCCGCCTTTGCAAACCCAAACGTTTTAGCCGAGTAAGGCCCAAGGTGCTCTAAAGACCATGCAGCCGTGATGGGAGATTCTGAAAGCGTATTGAGAGATGGAGCGGAGCAGAGGACAATGCAGAAGCGTTGCGAGGCGCTGCTGGTTTACCACTACCGTCCGTAAAAGAAACAGCTTCTTTGTTGTCTGCAGGATCACTTTCTTCTCGCCGGACAAGAAATGCTGTCCCCTCTTCGCGGCGTCTCTAATGTAATTGAAGATTTTGAAGCTCGCGACAGGGGGCGAGCTTTTTCAATGAACGGCGGTTGTTTTAGGGGCCGTAGGGAGGTTCCATCTGTCATTTGCGCGCGCGGCAAGCTTGGGTGATTAATTCTCCTGCCTGACTTGTAAAGCGTTTAGATTGTATAGTATTAATTGGGATTTGCTGGTATGCTGGAGTGCGCTTAGTAGCGAGGCCTGTTGTCGGCTTTTGGCGCTGCAGACACCGCCAAGGCCTGGCTCGAACAGCTAAGGTCTATAGTGGGCAACCTCGAACGGTTAGATGTTTTCTGCAGTAAATGGCTTCATCAGTTGAGAAGCCCCAATTATGTTTAGATTGCAGCTTAGGTGTGGCATGAGGATACATAGACGCCCCGCCGCGCACCGCGTTGTGTGCCAGCAGAGCTTCCGTTCTCCCCGCCAACATGCACGCGATGGATCTCATCTTCAAAGCGCGCGTGGGATTCGTTCGCGGATAGCGAAGCGGCCGCTTGGGGGCTGAAATTTTTCCTAGCCAGCATCTATCATATTATTTCTGCAGTTTTTGCGTTTCGTAACAATGCACTATTTGTGGTTCTGCTCACGCCGATTGTCCCTCTTGTTGGGCAACGTTAATTTCCCCGGGCGGAATGCGAGATTGCGAAAGAAAAATTGTGCAGTACATGGTTTCTACATTGTGCGGTACATGGTTTGAGGATGTTTTCCTCCTCTGGGGCTGTATCGTCTATTTGTGGCTGTTTTGAAGATTACCAGGCATGCAAGGAATCTTTCACGAAGAGAACGTTAATGCATGCAAGGAGATGGGGTTAAACGTTTCAGATCGTTTCTCGTGCGCAGCGTTACTTGACTACTTGGTTAGACGACAGAGGGATATTTCTCAGACGGCTCGAAGGTGAGGACGGACCAGGATGGCGGCTTTGGTTTTTGTCATGTTGAGTTGTATATATGTGTGTTACTTGTACGGCAGTTAACTACAATTTATACGATCTGGAGACCTTTATTCAGTGCAACGTAAGAACGTCGGTAATGCCACTGCCGCGCCTCTGCACATGTAAACCGGATGGCGATTGACTACTATCAACTACTATCAACTACCAATAATTACTATCAGGGTGTTCATACCGCCTAGAGCTGTTTGTCGGTTGTTATCATCGGTTGTTATAACCGCCTTGCCATCATGGTGGCCTTCCGACTGCTCCCGACCCGACCCGACCCGACCCGGCCCATCCCAACCGGGGCTTTTACAGCGCGGGGCCCTGAGGCGGCTGTTGCCCGTGAGGAGCCCGTGAGCCCGTGAGCCAACCGGCCGCTGCTGCACAACGCCGGGGCCAAGGGGCACCGACACCGGGGCACCGCCTCCACGATGACGTTTCTGTTCTTCAACATGGGACCCTACCACCACCAGCACCACCACCACACCAACAACCACGATTTGACATGAGGAGCACGCACTCCCAGGTACCAGCAGCAGCAGCAGCAGTAGCGCCAACTGCATCAGCGACGTCTCTACTTCACCCTCTTCACCTCTGCAGCACCCACGTCCGCTTTCACCACACACCATCATCATCACCCTTACGAATGCAAGCAAAAAAAAGGAGACGCCATGGCCAAATCTCTGCGCCCGCAGCAACAAGGTTGCGACTCGAGTGACGGCTGGTGCCCCTCGACGTCCGGCGGGACGTAATTCGCATCCAGTTCGCATCCAGCAACCGCAGCCGCGGCCGCCACCGTAGAGCCTTACATACATACACACATACATATGTGCAAACATACTTACATACATATGTGCGCATAAACATGCATCTGTCGTATGCGCGATGAAGGAAGGTAAGAGGAAGCCAGCACACGCGACGAAATGCCCTTGGGTAAAATGCACACGACAATTGTCGTACATCTATCAACCGACGGAGCGCGAGGAATCCTGCCGTAATCACGTGTACGGCATTCCGTCAACCAAGAGACCGGGTTGAAATTGAGCATGGAATGCCAAAAAAAGGACTGATTGATTGAGAGGCACCAAACCGTTTTCCGCGCGCCTATCACGCGCGCCCTTAGAGAAGGGAAGGGAACGGGACGGCGAAGAAAGAAGAAGAAGAAGAAGAAGAAGAAGAGAAAGAAAAAGAAATGCGTGCGAAAAATCGTGGGGGTTCGCAGTTGATGCGCGCAGCGGCAAACACACACACTGCTAGCTGGCCATCAAAGCTACAACAACATACGACGACGAAGACGACGAAGACGAAGGGGAGGAGGAGGAGGAAGGGAAAAAACACTTTCAAAAAGGCAAATGGGCTTTCTTATCTTGTGTGGGGACTCCACGTCGATCATCACTCCGCGGGGGGGAATAATGAGGTCCCCCAAATGCACAACTAACAACTCGTCGCATGGACCACCAGAGGTAGAAATACCTGCAGTACAAATGCCGTACGGTATACAACCGTTTATGTCTGTAATCCGTGCGCATGTATGTCTGTATGTGTGTGTATGCACCATCAGGATCTGCTGCTACACACTACACACTACTACACACTACACACACAACAGCAGTGTGTTCCCTTCACAACATACAACACAAACACACGTCAACTCGGACGCGCTGCATATATGTACCTACATACTTACATACATGCGTACTATGTACAAGCAAATGTACATTCAGGCATATGCACGCACGTACATACATACATACGTACGTACACACAACCCGCACACACCAACATGTACATGGTACTTGTGCTCACACCTCAGCAACCTCGGCTTCTTCCTCCTAGCCGAGAGACCTCCCTCTTCCCCCCCACCGGGATTGACCTCGCGGCTACCAGCCAGACGGCGCTGGTGCAGTCAAAAAGCTGCTCCCCGCCTAGTCGGGCACCTTAGTTGGCCGGGAGGTGCAGACCACAACAATAATATAATATGATACACATGTCTGGGCTGGGGTCACAAAACGGTTGATCAGTTCGTTGTTGGTTGATTCGTTTTCTGGCCGTCTGAAAACCGCTGCATGACCGAGCAGCTCTTTCTCACCCCGACCGTCCCCCCCCTGGATCACCTATATCACCCCTCCCAAGGGCCCCCCGACCAAATCAACAAGATTCTCCAAAAAAAAAACACCCAAGGCCTCCAACTCCTCCTCGTCCAACGCCTCCAACCCCCGTTCCCAGACCAGGCGGGATTTGCTTCCCCCCACCACCACCACCTGGTTTCGGTGCTCGGCAGTATGCACGTGCACGTGCACGTGCATGTGCACATGCACACACATATACACATGCGCACAAATGGTACATTGGTTAAATAGGCCTCCTGCGCTGTACAATACCGTACATCCGCCATACATACATAAGTACATACACACAGCGTCAGACAGTTCGTGTACGGCGCAACGCCGTACAGTCGGACATATACGAAGGGAGAACGCATGTCAACACAGGCACGTATCACATCCCCCGGGGGGAAGCCATTCTTTCCCATCCTTTTCTAGGTCTTCAAATATCCTCCGCAGTGTCCGGGTGCAGCCAGGGCGCACACCGCAATGGCGCCGCCAACCACCCTAACTTCCCCCCCCCTTCCCCACACCGACATAGTCCGTACGGCAGACAGGTACCATGCGTCTCATACCGGAAATACACACCCACACCCACACCCACACGCACACACACCACGCAGGTACTGGGGGCCCACGGTATGCTCGCACCCAAAAATCGCCGTACGGGTCCCCTCCACCCGTCCCGCCGCGGGCCCAGAATACCCAACATGACGCCCCCCCCCCCCCCCACCACCCCCACCCCCCCCACCCGCCGCCGCCATCCCCCGCCTAGCCGCCGCCGCCGCCGGGTCGCATTCACGCGATTCCGTTTCTATTTCCTGCTTCGGCTCCCTCTTGGTGCTCTTCACCCCCTCACCAAATCAGACACCCCACAAGGATGGGTGCTTAGGTGGTAGTTGGGTGGTAGTTGGGTGGCAGTTGGGTGGTAGTTGGGTGGTAGTTGGTAATTGGGGGAACCAGGACGCGGATGTCGGCTTTCAGGCCATTGCGAAATCCCTTCGACCGAAGAAGTGGGCGACCTCAACAAGCGCCTCTAGCCGCGGCTGCTGTTGCTGTTGCTGCTGGGGGTCCTGCTCCTGCTCGTCACCCTCCTGTTGCTCGTCCTGTTGCTCGTCCTGCTTCTCATGTTCCAGTTGCTCGTCCTGTTGTTGATGCTGCTGCCGCTGCCGCTGCGCATCCGTGGTAACCAGGTAATCCGTGTACGGCAGCGGAGCGGTCATTGAGCAGTTGGAGTCGTCTGAGTCACGCCGGAAGACCTGCGCAGCCACAGGGTCGTCGGCTCACGGTTACCGGCGTTGCCGTACGCGTACTGCAGGGTCGTACTTGGCCATATCCAGGCGCCTCTTGCCTGCTGCTACGGCCTCTCAGTGAGTGCGTACGAGTGCATAATCTCCCATACGCGCATACTTTGTCAAGGCTAAAACTCCATGACGCGACCAAGACGTACTAACTCTGAAATTCCTTCTGGAATACGGTCGGTCGGTCGGTAAGGACGAAAAGCAAGAACCCTCGGCCGATTGGGACATGCATAAGGACGAAGACGCAAGGCTGGGATATGGCCGGCTCGGCTCGCGTAAAGCGCGCGGAGGACGTAAAAGTGTGTGTTTTTAGTCGCACGCCGTTCCTCCTCCGCATGGACGACCCCGGATTTGGATTTAGATTTGGATTTGGGGGATCTTTGCTGTAGTTGGGCTTTGGACTTTGGGGAGAGAGAAAAAGGGAGCACGCACACATACAGACATACATGTATAAAACCTCCCCTGCCGGGACTGCCTTAACCGAATTTGTGTTTGTTTGTTTGTTTTCCCTTCGAATCCCGTTTTCGTTGGTGGTGTTTTGGGGGGTTGTTTCAGGAGCCTTTGACTTTGCCCTAGCTTAGAGTTGTGGACTCGCTCTAGCGGGACCTGAGAGCCCTTCGTGGGGTCTTCACTGCAGCGCCATCCCCGGATGGAGGGGCTGCGTAGAGTGTTGGCAGCTGAGTCGGGGTCGGGAGCACACAAGACTAACCGACTTGTGCTGTGTGCTCCCGACCCTTGCGTTGTGTTTCGGCTTCGGCCCCCGGCTCTCGCGGCCCACAGTGTAATCTAAGTCATACATACATACATACATACATACATACATACATACATACATACATACATACATACATACATACATACATACATACATACATACATACATACATACATACATACATACATACATACATACATACATACATACATACATACATACATACATACATACATACATACACGTACACCAACGATGTGTGGGGAGCTCTCACGACGGGGGCTCCCCCCCCACACACGCACGTCGGCCCTGCCTGTCATTATGCCCTTCATGTCTTCTTGCCCGCCCCCACAGCACTCACAAGCACCACCTCACAGCACCACGGCGCCGTGCTTTGCCTTCGGCAGTACCCTTGCTCCCGTACCTTTTCCGGACTTGAGCGTCGCTCATTCACCTCCCACTCAGAAACATCTTCTTCCCCCCGCCCCGCCTGTCTTTTTCTTTCTTTCCTAGATTGGGATCGGGGCTCGCTGCCGCAGACGTTTGTCGATGTGGCCTTTGCAACAGCCCTCGCCTGCCTTCACGTGCCCCCATCTTCCGAACGACACCTCTACTAACTCTCCCTACTTACGCTGCTGCTGCTGCTTCTGCTGCTCCGCCGACATCCTTTGTATTTCCCCTTTCATTCCAGGACAGTTAAACTTTAGGGTTTCACGGAAAGGGTTCGGTGTGCCCGCCTCGGGCGGGGGAGGACACCCAGTCTGCCGCCGCCACATCGCACCCGCTGTGACAGCCGCATGACGACCACCTGCTTTGTCTGCTCTGCTAGCTCATATGAGATGTTTTTAGGATACTAATAGGTCTTTATGCTCCATGTAACTGGGACTTCAGGTACCCTCGTTATCTGTAGTGGCCACCACCTGTAGTCGGCCACTTCGCCACGACAGCGCCCCTCCTACCGTGACTCGATTCGGGGCTCCCTCAGGTAACCGTTATCCTTTTTCCCAAGGTGCCACCACCACCACCACCACCACCACCCGCACGGCATTTCCCCCTCACCCCCCCCATCATCATCATCATCGAGCGGCTCCGAAGATCATCAAGGCTAGCAGAAGTGAGCACGCGCATGCACGGCAAGTTATCCTCCGCCGTTTTGCCACCTACCATCTGCAGCACCTGAACGGACTTCGCAGGCTGCTGCTGCTGCTGCTGCTGCTGCCGTTGCATTTGGCAGTCGTACACAAAATTGGTCTTGGCCCGGGGCCCGTGCAGCGCCAGTGCTGCCTCGTCGTACGCTCGCGCCGCCTCCTCCGGTGTTTTAAAGGTGCCGATCCACCTGGGGCAGCAGTAGCAGCAGCAGCAGTCGCAGTAAAGCAGCAGGAACATGAACAGCAGCAGCGGTAAAATAAGCAGTAGCAGCAGCAGTAACAGAAGCGCGCTGTCGCATGTGAGGTGGATGCCAAATCAGGACACTGCCGTTGGCTGTTGTTTCGTTGTTTGAGCAGAGTTTGGCCCCGGCTTAAATTGGACTCGTGTTATGGCATAGGTATCCAGCGGGGATGACAATCAGGAAAAAAAGGTCTTCGAGCTTCATACTAATTTTTTAGCGCGTGTGGTCAGATTAATCCATTGGACATGGGGCTCTCGCCATTTGGGTTGCTGCCGTTAGGACCTCGTGGCGGTGCTTCTGCCGACTGGCGACTGCGACAGGAACATATCACGCCGAGCTAAGATATGCAAATAAACATATGGGGATCTACAAAGTAAGAGATTTTATGTTGTTTAATATTTTTTAATCCTCTGTAGGAGATGATAGTGCATATCGGCGCGCTCGCCCGGAATGAAGGTATGCGACTTACTTGGGCATTCCGAGGACTTTCTTTGTTTGAAAACCAAACACAGGTAATTTTATTTTTGTTTCGTTTGTATCGGTTTCCCTTAGTAACAGCGGCACCTACTGGAGGAGCAGCAGCAGCAGCAGCAGGCGGCTGCTGCGGCTGCTTGCCAAAGTCGACGCACCTGCGCTTTCCACTGCTCGCGTCACGAATCTCCGCAGCGTAAGAGCCCCATGGGCGTCGCCGAACGCCTCTGTACCCGACTTTGTTAATTGGTCCTGCGTGCAAGGTGCAGACATTAATGGTGGCGCTTGGCGCAGTCCGCGCGCCACTTGGCACGCGGTACGCGGTTAGCCACAGCCCATAAGCTCTTTGCGCAGATTTTTTTTATCAATATTATCCTACATGTTAGAAAGCCATGCGAGAGGTGAAGGCTTGGCGCTGTCCGAAGCCCTTACAAAGCCACCTACCATGCTCATCGTTTTGGGCCGGGCGGCTATCGTGGTAGTCTGGGTCCTCGTCCAGTGCTCGCTTCCTCCTTGTCACAGGGCGTTGAACAAATGGTTCCTCCTCTGAGCTTGGGACATGCTCCTCATGGTGGAAGGCGCCTCTGAGGCGAGCGGCGACGGAGGACGGTTGGAATTTGCGAAAGAGCCTTACCGCAGAAACATGTGAGCAATACTCTCAACATAACATGCAGTAAACATGGCGTTGGACCAGCCGGGGCGGCTGGCGAGGAGCGCCGGCGGACATGGAGCGACCGGTGTATGCAAACCGTCGCCAGGCTGCTGCTTTCCATTAACCAAAAGTCTCACAAGCAATTCAGCACCTAAGAAAGCTCAGCAGGCTACATTCGGCTCGCTGACGAGCAGCGTGAGGCGGGTCTTTCGCCGGGAAGCTGGAAGGGCGTGCACTGCACTCACAGTGGAATGAGGACCTGGAGGGCTCCAGATGGCATAAAGTTGTAAAGCATGGTGACGAAATCGTAAAAGAATATGATTCGGCCACACACACTCAGCTATCGTTCAAAGCCGGTGTGCGCGGGTAAGTGAAGAATGGCAATCAAAATTGTCTTCCTGATTGAAGCAGCCTGTTGCTGGCTTATGGATACACCCAACTGAGTGGAATTTTACTGAGTATGCTTGGATTCATGGATGGATCGTGTGTTGTACTACATGTCGAAAGGACGAAAATAATTACATCGCCAAAATATCGAAATTCATACAGCTCTAGGTTAGGGAACCAAATTGTCGTCATTTTGAGCCATAAAAATGCTTTTAACAAGTGGCGTAGTCTGCGCTGGAAGCATCGAGCTGCAGCCGACACATCGCCAAAATATATGTGACCTACCGACTGAAGTCCTTGCAATTATGTTATCCAACCTGGGATGTCGCGATAAAAGGGCGCTTGCCTGCACCTGTGCTTCCCTACTTTCGGGTAAGGCAAGCGAGGCCCTTATGCCACCGCCCTTGAGATGGCACCTTGTCCATGCTTACTCCCCTTAATTAAAATCCACGTAGTCATAAAAAATGCAATTCCCTTTCCTTTGCATAAACTCGGCCGAACCTTGGCGGCATATGGTGCCACTCTCTGGCAACCCTGGCGCCAGCACCCCGCCGTACAATTAGGCCTCTTCCTCACCAAGGTGCTTGCCCGGGCACTCCTTAAGCCCGAACCCAAAGCCACAACCGCAACAACAACCATCACAACTAGAACCCTGCGCGTCCTTCAGGCGTGTGTTGACCCCCGCCCCCTGGCCTGCACTCTTTGTTGCTGCCGCTGGTCCCTCCCGCCCCGTCCGAGCTACAGATCCTCCCCCCCAATCTCCCCTCCCCAAATCGGCCAAGCCACACCGCCAAACCCGTTACCACATACACACACACCCCACTCTCCCCCCCGCCATATCATGTGGCCCGCTCCCGCAGCCTTGGAGCCCCAACTGGGCCCAATGGCAGGTACTACCTACACCGCCTCCCTCCCCCCCTCCGCCCCCTCATCATCACCATCATCATCATCATCATCCCCCGGCGGCTGCTGTCCATGTTGGCGCTCCCGGCTTCACGCGACACACGCACTGCGGGCGGCTGCCTGGCGGGGGGCCCTGCAAGCTGCAGCTGCACAGGTCCACAACCCCAACCAAGCCGCGGGTACGGCAAGTACGGGCAGTGATGATGGTGCCGGCGATGGAGGAGGCGGCGGCGGGGGAGGAGGAGGAGGAGGAGGTTGTGATGGTGCGGGTGGTGATGTTCCCGCACGCCAGGCGCCTCAGCAGCCTCAGCGGGAGGAGGAGGAGGAGGAGCAGTCGGGCAGGAGGCAGGAGCTCGCGTTCCCCGGGCAGGGGCTGCAGCCGGCCCCGCCCGCCACGACCCCGCCTTCCGACACCATGTGCAGAGCCCAGCAGCGCCGAGCAGCGTCAGCCGTACATACACACACGGGGAGCCACGTACCGGCTGCGGAGGCAGTCCCCGCCCCGGGCCGCAGTCGCAGCCGCAGCCGCAGCCTCGTACAAGTGGAGTACGGCGTTCTGTTCCGACCTACGGAGGCCGTGCTGCGTGCAACACGCACATTGGTGTACGACGGTCGCCTCGTGCTGTTGGCGGGATCATCCAGCGGGGTGCTGGCGGCGCATCACCCGCCCGACCGGGTCGTACAGGGCCGGGTGGGTACTCGAAGGGGGGGTAGGGGGGGGCAAAACCCTAAAATAGACCCCCCACTCACCCACCCAACCACCTGAACATTGGGCTGTAGCTCGGGCTGCCCCCCACAGCTGTAGCAGGGGGTTAGGACCACGTAGAGGTGGGGGTGGGGGTCGCCGGGGATGTGGGTTTGGGCGGGAGGGGGGGTGGGTGGGTTAGTGGGGGCCAACGGGCGCGTCTGAGTCAGGACGGCTTGCCGTACTATGGCCACATACATCCGCCTTCCCTTCATCCACTTTAAGTCACCATGACCTCCCCCCCCTCGTTCCCCCCCACCCCCCGGCCAGTGCAGGCCACAGGCTCCCTGCCGGACCCTACACAGATGACCTCACTGGGCTGCGTGTGGGTTTGTCCGGAGACCCCTCCCTCCGCCCACCTCCCCCCCGCCTCCTGGCCGCAGCCGCCAGTGTATCAGCCTCCCTGGCCCCCACCGCCACTGGGATCTGCCAGGGGGGCCCCGGACTGGGGTCTGGATCTGAATCTGGATCGTAATCTGGATCGTAATCTGGGGTGTCAGGAACGTCAGCACCGGCAGCACCAGCACCCCCCACACCCACACCAGCCAACCCCCGGGAGGAGTGGTGGTGGGCGATGTGGATGGTGTGGGGGGAAGCTGGACGGGGTGGGGCTGTGTGATCTGGGTTGTGGGGGGGATGCAGCGGTGCTGGTGGGGAGCGGGGAGGCCTCCGGAGTGCGCTGCCGTACTGCGGAGCTGTCTTGCTGGCCCCGCCAATCCGCCCCAGTCGGTGAGGAGGTGAGGAGGACCCCGTACGGCAACACGTATTGGGAGTTGCGGGGGAACTGGAGATGATGATGATGGTGATGTGGGTTTTGGTGTGAGTGATGGGAAAGGGGAGGAAGAGAAGGGAGGGCGTGTGCGTGTATGTGCGTATGTGTGTGTGTGTATGAAGGGGCAGAGAAGAGGGGCCGAAAGAGGGGGAGGAGGAGGAGGAGGAGGTAGCTTCGGGGTCGCACATACCCCCGGAATAACGCCCGTATGGCCCATTAAAAACTGCAGCTAAAGTGTTATCCCAACTTCATGTCGGGAATCTCTCTCTGTTGTTCCCCCCCCTTTCTTTCCCCCCACGAATACACACACGCACACGTTCCCCCATCAGTTGCCTCCATACAACTTTTGCATGTACGTCCCCCCCTCCTTCCCCCCTGCTGAAATTTGAACCCCCAACAGCTCCGCAGAGCGCTGGAGGGCATCCTGAAGAGACCCTCAGTGCCGTACAACGAAACACAAAAGACCCCCCACACCTCCATCCCGCACTTCACAGACCTACACACGCACAGCGGCGGCGGCGGCGAGGAAGACGATGACGGCATTGGAGGCGGCGGTCGGCGAGTGGTTGGCAGCGGTGGTTGGCGGTTGACGTACTTGGACTGCTCGGCCAACGAACTGCGGTGTGACGATCTGATCGCGTCCATGCTGCACGGTACGACCGGAGCTAGCGCCGCCGCCGCCGCCGCTGCCGCTAACGCGGGTCTGGCGGCGCCGCCGCCGCCGCTCCCACCCTTGTCCCAGTTGACCGTTGGCAATAGCAGCAGTAGCAGTAGTAGGGATGTCAGCCCTCTGGAGGTGTTGTTATGTGGGGGCTACGGGACCCATCTACGGCACCTGGTAGCGACGCGGGCGGTGGTGAGGGCGAGCCGGGAGCTGCGACTGCTGCAGGTGAGTGTGAGTGAGAGCGAGATGTGTGTGTATGTATGCATGTAGGTTTGTATAATTGTATGTATGTATGTATGTATAATTGTATAATTGTATATATGTTGGAGGGGTCGGGTGGTTCTTTAGGGGGTGAGAGGAGGGAGCGTCATAGCGCGGATGTCGTCTGGCTGGGTGGGTTAGGGGAGAATATTGCGTGACCTGTGTATGTATGTATGTATGTCCATTACGTATGTACGTGTGTATGTATGTTACGTCATTAACCTCCCTATACTGCACCTTAGCGCACATACACAGTACCCCCTCCCCCCTCCGTCAGTACTGCTGCCCCCGACTGGCCACTCTGGACCTCTCCGGGTGCCGTACATGCCCTCCGCCTCCGACTACCACCACCACTACAGCCAGCAGCAGCAGCAGCAGCTACTGCGGGCCGCGGGTGTTGCAGTTCGGTTTGGCTCTGAGGGAGGCGGTGGGCTCGATGACCTGCCTGAGGGGTGAGGGGGTGAGGGGTGAGGGGGCCCTGCTGACGTCCCCTAAGGGTCATAGCGCCCCCGCGATTGAGGGGACGAGCACTTGCCAGCCGCTGTAGCGGGCAGGGGGGCCAGGGGGCCCTTGTCACAACGGAGGGCACCCCGACGAAACACACACGTAACTGCCAAGAGCTACCTCCTCTCTCTTCCGGGGCCCGGGCACTCTCTGTCTCGTCGGGGGTTTGGAAGCTCCCCCCTCATCCCCCTCCCCCCCAGTTGCAGCTCAGTGCGCTCCAGGGGGGGAGGGGGAGGAGGGGAGGGGCAGTTTCCGGCTGCTGGGGCCCTTCACCGTCATTTGGTCCCTTGGGTCCTTTGCCCCTCTGACTCCCCCCACCCACTCCCCCCACCCACTCCCCTAACCCCCCCGCCCCCGCCCCCCGGGCCAGTGCTAAGTCTCCAGGATATGGACCTAGGGGGCTTCTTTTCCGTAAAGGGACGCGGTCTATCGTACGGGGATGCCGTACGTGGACATGGACACAGACGTGAAGACTTGTCCACGGCCCCTGGGGGCACTGCCGGCGGCGGCGGCGGCAGCAGTGGTTGCGGCGGTGGTTGCGGCGGTGGCAGCAATGTCCCAGTCGCCGGTGGTGATCAGGGATGTGAAAGCGGCGGCGGCGGTGACGGGACGGAGCCGCAACGGCAGGAAGAGGAGGATCATACTGAATGGCTGCGACCGATATGTCGTACATTGCGCGGTTTACGACATTTGGACGTTTCGGGTTGTGTCGGGATGGGACAACAGCACCTGGCAGCCGTCATGTCCACCGCCACCGCCTTGACCCATCTAGGCGCCGCCAGGTGCCGCCACCTGGCGTCGTACAGCGCCGCCACCGTCGCCGCCGAGCGCCAACCGTGTTGCTACCTGCGCAGCCTGTCGCTGGGCTGGGGCTTCGACGCAGCCATTGTACGGCGGATCTGCGCTGCCGCGGCGGCAACGGCGGCGGGCTTGACGGCGCTGGCACTGGATGTCGGCGCGTGCGTCGACGACGCCCGTCTGGCGGCGGTGGCGGCGGCGTGTCCCCACCTCCAAGACCTCCGCTTGAGGATGTGCGCTGTATCTGGGGCGGGGTTGGGAGCCGTCCTGGCGGCCTGTCCCAAGCTGCATGTACTGCATGTGGTCTGTTGTACGGGACCGATTCGCAGGCAGGAGCTGCTAGGCCCCCTGGGATGGCTGCCGCCGCCGCCGCCGCCGCCGCATGCATACAGTGGTGGCGAAAACGGCACAACGGCGGCGGCAGTGGCGGAAGCGGCGGAAGCGGGTGCCGACGTCGTCTTGTTATCGCGCTGGGCCATGTCCGATCTGCGCCTCGTGGCCTGCGGGTCGACGGAGCTGGACGACGGAGACATGCTGTCGCTGCTGTACGGCAAGCCGATGTACGACAGCCTGGCGAAGGACCTCCGCGCCGGCGGGATTGGCAGCGACGCCGCAAGCCGCCGCCACTTCTGTTCCGCCGGCAATGCAGACCCTCCGCCGCCGCCGCGTCGAACATCGTACAGCCTCCGCCTCCGCCACCTGCGGACGCTGGCGCTGGTGGGTTTGCCCCGGCTGACCGACGCGCTTCTACGGCAGTTGCGGGTTTGTGGCGGCACGTGTGTACGGGAGGTGCGGTTGGAGGTCAGCGGCGTGGAGGCGGGCGGCTTCACGGAGGGGTCGCTTGTCCGGTGGCTGAGCAGCTGCCGCCACCTCACCAATCTGAGGTTGCGACATTGCTGCCGGGTGGGTGGGTGGGAGGGGGTGGGAGGGAAGCTGTACGGAGGTGTGTACGGCAGAGGGAGAGTGGGGGGGTCCATGGTGGTGGTGATGATCGACGGTACATACATGCATACATACATACATACATACATACATACATACATACATACATACATACATACATACATACATACATACATACATACATACATACATACATACATACATACATACATACATACATACATACATACATACATACATACATACGCGTGGTCCGTTTTCTTTCTATGGCTACTTCTCCCCTGGACCAGCCCAGGAAGGGACAGGTGGTGGAGGTCAGTTGTTTTAAGGTGGTTGCAAGACGTCTTGTGGTGTCGAGCTCTCTTAGCCTTTCTCTCTTGGAGGTTTTTTGTTGGCCTGTTAGGTATATCAGGAGCCCTCCCCTGCCGGGACTGCCCTGACCGAATTTGTGTTTGTTTGTTTGTTTTCCCTTCGAATCCCGTTTTCGTTTGTGGTGTTTTGGGGGGTTGTTTCAGAGAGCCTTTGACTTTGCCCTAGCTTAGAGTTGTGGACTCGCTCTAGCGGGACCTGAGAGCCCTTCGTGGGGTCTTCACTGCAGCGCCATCCCCGGATGGAGGGCCTGCGGAGTGGCTGCGTAGAGTGTTGGCAGTCTGAGTCGGGGTCGGGAGCACACAAGACTAACCGACTTGTGCTGTGTGCTCCCGACCCTTGCGCTGTGTTTCGGCTTCGGCCCCCGGCTCTCGCGGCCCACAGTGTAATCTAAGTCATACATACATACATACTACATACGTACGTACATGCTACATAACTAAGTACGTACGTACGTATATATATATACATGTAATTCAACCTCAGCGCAGCGGCTTCACTCGGCCTGCCACCGGCTTTTAATTGCAACCAACAACTGAAACGAAACGTTACCGAATTCACCTAACCAACCCCAACTAACTCTCTTCCTACCGGCCGCAGCTCGGCGCATCCGCGGTGGGTCGCCTGGCCGCCGCCTGCCCCTCCCTGGAGGTCCTCATGGTGGACCGCTGCGACCTGCCGGCGTGTGGGTTCGACTTGGAGCCGTCACCGTACGGCGCGTTGTCGTACGTAATGGTGGCGAGGTGCAGGGCGGACGAGGGGGGGTTGCCGCGGGGTTCTTCTGGCGCTGCTGCTCCTGCTGCTCCTGCTGCTCCTGGTGCTCCTGGTGCCGCTGCTGCCGCTGCTGCTGCTGCTGCTGCTGCTGCTGCTAGTCGTGGCAGCGGGGGTAAGGCTCCCTGCTGGTGGCTGCCTGTTGAGCGTGACGTGAAGATCATCAGGCTGCGTGATGGCGCGGTTTTCAAGGAGGCCATGTACGCGCTGTGAGTGGCGTGGTGTGTCGCTGGTGTGTTTGTGAGGGGCGGGGGGAAGGTGTGTGGGGAGGGGGCTGCTGTGAAAAGGGGGGGTGGGGTTGCACTCGATGCATTGCTGCTGGACCCCGCCCCCACCGAGGTGCCATGTCCCAGCTGCGTGGTGAGGGAGATGATGAGCTGGGAAGTTTATTGTGCGTGTACTCCAGGAGGGGCCCTGATGGCGGGTGTGGGAGCGACAAGTTGACCGGGCAAGGGCCGAAGGGGGTTTTGCACTGCATGGGAGTGGATTTTCAGATGGAAGGGTTGCGTTGGTATGCGGGTCGTTTTAATTTGCAGGATCTACAATTGGATCCTGGAAGAAGGCTGGAAGTTGGTATGACGACTTTCCATTGCAATGGCGTTCGTGTTTGGCGTATGGAAGTTAAAAAGCCATACGGGGCCCCGTACATAGTTACGGCAAGAAATTGGCATCCCGTTTCAGTTTTCCAGCGGTCTGTTATACTTTATTGGATGAAATAACGACGTGTCTAGAGCTTGGCTGAACAAGCCTGGAGTTAATGTCACGCATCTCGGGGGACTAGGTCGACGCTTGCAAAGTAAAGCACCATGCATTCATTCTGGACCCGTGCAAATACTGTCATCACCTTCTTTGGAACGGTGGCAGCAGTCCTGTGCCTTTTGACGACAGGGACAGGCAAGAGAACCGTTGATCACCACTGCTTACTCTAGGAAGTCTATAATTGGAGGTCGTTGTTTTGCACAACAGATCTCCTACATAAATCAAACCCAAAGATTAAGCTTGGATTAAGGGATGTGCGTCGCCTGGTACAGTCTCAGGCCGGACAAGAGCAAGTACGTGGAAGCTGCACAATTGTATAGATTTTGGTAACTCGAACGACTGGTGGAACGGCATATTCGCAGGCGGTGGTGACTTTCGACCTCGACGCAGATCTGCGGAGCATCTTTACCTGGAATACGAAACAATTGTTTGTATACGTGCAAGCTGAATACGAGACACCCGAAAACCGGGTTAATCAGGTCGTCCTATGGGATTTCATCGTTCAGCAGCAGGCAAGCAGAAGGGGAGGCGCGTTTGAACGTGTCCTTCTGCCGTACGACAGCTGCCCTACCCCAGCGTGAAACTTAGCTCGCACCGCGTGGCACCTTCCTCGCCCCATATGTGTATGCGTTTTGCAGGCACGGGCCCACATCAAAGTGAGCAACCATAAGACCAAGTACGCATTCATCGACCCTGGCCGCAACCTGCGTGGCCGGCCGCTGAACCTAACGTTGGTGTGGTGCGTCATGCCACGTGTGGGTAAGTGGGTGCCGATAATGAAGAATGGGTTTTGGCCTGAAAGTTGCGGGATGGGTATCACTGCTGAGGTAGAGGCAGGCGGCGCCTGCGCCAAGCCTGCCAAGGAATGGCAGGCCGAACGGCAGGCGTTACCACGACAGCGTGTCATCATAATGTCGAGCAGGCGACGTGACGGTGTGGCATGGCGAACGGCGATCAGGCTGCCACGCCCTTCCCAACCCAGCCTGTGCATCACTTTCTCCCCGGTTGCCTGCTCGATCTGACTCCCGTGGTCATCTCATGGCATGGTCGTCGACCTGCCAAAGAAGATGTTCCCCAGCTCGCGCCGTTCGCCTTCCAATTTTTGGCCTCCCCCCCATTTCCATGCTGCAGGCCGCATGTACACGCAGCAGTTCACGAAATCGGTGGGAAAGCTTCCAGGTGAGCTGGAACAGAGGACCTTTACCATTGATACAAATATTAATGTTATGTCTTCATTCCATTGGTCTTTTTCACGGGTTGTGCACATGGGGGTGAGGCACCTGCACTGCTGCTCAAATCCGTGTGGCAGGTAGCGCGCGAAACGTATCACTCCATTATACGCGGTAGTGCTCTTATTGGGCAGTTCCGTCAAAATCTCGTCGGGGGTTTGGAAACAGAGGCGGCAAGGAGGAGTTGCAGATGGAGCTGCAAAGCTCGTCGGCGCAAAATTTCTCCTCGGGATTTCCTGCACCTTGCCTCCAGCCCGCTCCGCACGCACAGAGACAGCCTGGTCTTCGTGCCTTGTTTCTTACCCCTGCCGTGCCCCCCACTCTTCCCCGCTCCCCAGCGTCCTACCTCTTCTAGCGTAGCTCTGCCAAGATTGTGCTCTGACAGACCAGGAAGGGAATACATCCGGCTGGGACCTCCACAGGGCGCGGCGCGGATGGAGGCAGAGCTGGGAGGAAGCACGGGAGGGGGAGTTCGGCTTGAACCTCTATAACCTCCATACTCTAATCCTAAGAAGCAGATGTGATGGTGTTATTACAGAGCGTCAGTGCGTGTGTGACGTCCGTTCGCGGTCATTCCGCTGCGTTTCATCTTTTGCTACAACTTTCTGGGTTGTGTGGAAAGTGGCCATTTGAAGCTGTGTATGGGGTGGGTGGGATGGGCCGGGTTCAGGGCCAGGATGGCGCTCCTTCCTTCTCGGCGTTTGTGTCCTATTGGAACAGCGACACAGAGCCCGGTGCGGAAACGCCGGCTGGCTCCGTCACTGGGCGATAGTTGTTTTGCTCCTTTATTAGGAGCACAGATGCGGCGGCGCAGGGCAGGTCTCAGGGCGGTGTCCCCGGGCTTTTCGCTGCAACTACGAACCCTGCGCAGCATTTGGGAGTTTGGTTGCAAACCCCTGGGGCCGCGTGCGAATATATATATCTCCAACGCCCTGTATTAAAATTACACAGCGAAATAAAGAGCGGGGCTGCACTGTGCACCCTGCCCCTCGCAGTCATCGCCGCGAACTTGCGTTTTAAAGGATGAGAAGCTACTTGCAAAGCGCACACTTGTGCGCACCCATGGGTTGGCCTCACTGCTGCACTGCTACACGTACCTTGAGCTGCAGAGGTTGAGAAAGTTTGTTTAATTCCTCTTCTTGCTTCTTTCCTTTTGGATCTTGTATCAACCGCACCAGCCGGGGGGAAAGCGTTGTAGGCACCGCAAAGAGGTTGAAGCTGAGCAATTGGGCTTTGCAAAAGAAAACACTTCAGCACATGTCTGAAACGTCTCGCTTAAATTTATCCCGATGTACACGTCTACCTCACACCTTTACACTGCGGCCTGCAATTGGCCTCTTCAGTCCCGGTTTTACAAAACTCGGCAGTAACGCATACCAGCCCAACAACAACAACAGCCGTGACCACCAGCACCCTCTGCCCTGTGGCATACCTTCAATTGCCCCTCCACATACATTTACACACATCGCCTCGTGCATTTTGCGTATTTGGTTTCCATCCAGTACCTTCATCGCCGCCACGCTGCCCACTGCCGTAAGCAAAGAGCCTTTCGAGGCACCTTAGTTAGGACCATTCTCAGTACAGTAACAATACTGTACAGTTGAATGTACCAGCTCCAAACACGCGCCCAGGAGGGGCTCGGATGCCAGCGCCGCTCCGTTGCCCTGATCACCCCACGTCACACACACATGCGTTTTCCCCCTCTAATTGTTACTCTGTCAACATGAGAAAGAAGGGTCCGGAAAGGCTGAGCGGAAAGGTACAGCTGTGGAACGAGGGCTTCACCGCGATGGTAGCTGGTATGTGCTGGCGCAGCAAGAGAAAGTGGCGATGAGGCGGCAATGCCGCCTCATCCCTAGCGACTAGCGACATCCCCGCAACCGACACACATACGGCGCGACACAACCCACCCGACGTCGGTCCGCCGCGACCGTGGCGATGTGCGAGACCACGTATCCAGTTAGTCCCCCTCCCCTCCCCTCCCCTCCTCTCCCATGACCTTAAACCCTTCGCGCCATTGGCGAACAAAATGTTGGTCCAAGTTTACGGTCATCTCTTTCCCCCCCCTCTACTGCTATGGTCAACTCCGAGGTCAAACATCCATCAGGCTCTACTCGCTCATGCGGCCCTCCCCCCCCCGTTCCTCCCCTCCCCGGCCCCGTCCTCGTCCCCGGCCCGCTGCAAGTTCCCCCTCAGATCCGCCCTCCTCCTCGCCACCTTGTCGCCGCTCCTCATCCCCGCCCCGCGCAACCCCTCTCAACCCGTCCCCAGCCTCATGCTCGCGCTCAGCCCTCTGCCCGCCACCACTTACTCGCCGGTCCCGGGACCTAGCGTCCATATCCTCCTCATCATCATCATCATCCTCACCCCCGCTGCCACCCCGCCGCCGCGACCTGCTCCCCTCTCCACCGTCCCCCCCTCCGTCCCCATCCTCTTCATCCGCGTCCCCACCACGCCCCCGGCCAGTTACTCCCGCATCCTTCTCCTCGTGTCCCCCCCTCCCTGGCTCACGACCTTGGGCTCCCCCTCTGTCCACCTCCATCCCAACATCCCCCTCGTCCCCATCGTCACCGCCGCGCGCACCGTCACCACCCATGCCAGCCCCAAGCCTGGAAAGGAAAGCCGCCGCCGCCTCAGACGCGGAGGGCCGCGGCGGCCCCGCGGCCGCACCAAAGCCCTCGGGCCCTGCCCTGGCCTCCTCCTCGCCTCCGGGTGGGCCCCCCTGGCGCTGTCGCTTCCAGCGGTATGCCGCCTCCAGCAGTTTGAGGCCGGGCGCTGCGGCGCCCTCCTCCGGAAAGATGTAGTCGTAGTACTCCTCCTGCCCCACCTGTTTTGGGGTCGAAATGGGTTGGGAAGAGGGACGGGAGGCGGATGAAGGGGAAGCCGGGGGCAGGGAAGGAGGTAGGGAAGTGAGGGAAGGAAAGGAGAGAGGAAGGAACAGGAAGAGAGAGAGAGAGAGAGAGGCTTGGCGACAGAGCGGGTGATGCGGTGCGGTGGCGAGCACTGCCGCCAGTAGCCTCTTGGGGGTTCAGAAGTGGCCCCTTTTGTCCGAGAAGTGACACCGAGAGGAAAACGTCGTTCGTCTCCAGACGAACGCACCACACACATACACATGCACATATGGACAGACACACACACACACACACAGACAGACAGATAAGAAGACAGACAGACACAGGTCTTCCCCCCCCCCCCTGGGGCTCCCGCTTCCCACCTCGTGCCCATCCTCCGTGGTCACGGCCCGCTTGCGCTTCACCCGGCGGGGCATCTTCTTCTCCACCTCCGACAGCCGGCTGCTCCTCTCGGCTGGGGAGCTGCGGGGCGGGGTGAGGGGGGTAGTGGGTGGGCCGTCCGGGGAGGGCCAGGGAGGGCGGGACGAGGGGCCGGCCAAGGTACGTGTTTCCTCGAGAGCTTTCAGCCTTAAATTGGAATTTTAATTTATTCCAACACCAGATAATACACATAAATACATACATACACACTTACATGGTACTTCCTCGCCGTATCCATGTGACGTTATCTTCACTTAACATTTCCGGGTCAGCTCACTAAAACACAGGCACACGCAGCTGGTAGTACACAGCTCGCCGCCAGCCACGGGCCATCATCATCACAGCCGGAAAACCCCGCCCCCCCCTCAGTCCGCCCCCCAGGCGGCCCGCCTGGAAACCGCCGCCGTAACCCCCCTTCCCCTTTCCCGCCCCCTCCATCATGTCCCCTCCATCATGTCCCCTCCATCCCGCCCCGCCCTCCCGCCCCACCTCCAGTCCTGCTCCTGCTCAAAGGCCTTCCAAGCCTCCAACAGCATTACCGCCTCCTCCTTGGCATCAGGCGCCACGTCACGAAGTGTACGGAAGGCCTGGTCGTACACTGCCCGGGCGCGGGTAGCACGGGCGGGGGCGGACTCGGGACCCTCCGCGGGCGCCTGCGGCTGCCTGCGGGGGAAAGAGTGTGTGTGTATGTATATATGTTGGGGGAGTGTGAATTGGGATTGGGATTGCCGGGGAGATATAGAAACTAAGATCATGTGAGGAGGGGGGAAACCATACAACCATACATACGTACATACACACACATCAACCCTACCGTCCCCTCCATCTTCCTACGTCTGCCCCTGCAAACTGCCGCCCGGGCCCCCAGGGCCCCCTCCGCAGGCCCTTAGATCCTCACCCTGCCGCCTCTCCCTCCGCGCCCTCCGCTGCCGCCACAGGCATGAGAGCCGCCTCGAAGCGGGCGAACGACAGCCACACCTTGACATGCTTCGTACGGTCCAGAAGCCGAGTGTACAGCACCCGTACCCGCTCCCGCTCGCCCTCGGAGATCTCGAAATCAATGTAGGCCTAGCGGGAACGGCACGTACGGAAATGCGGTACAATGTATGTAACACTCGGGCATCGTGAGTTCGGAGGAGGTGGCGGGGAGGTGGCGGACATGAATCATCCTAGGGGTTGGGGCGCCCTTTAGGACAACCGAAGGGCTGTCATTCCCTTTAGGGACAAACCCTTTGGTTCCCCCCAAAGCAAGTAAGGGCGAAAGGACGAAACCGTAAATGTTGCGGAAATGGGACAGCAGCATTAGCATTAGCATTAGCAGCAGTCCTGGACCCGAAGGGTCGGCAACAGCCGGGGAGCGGGGGCCATAAGCGAGAGCTACAAACCAACTAGGTCGTGCTTCCTGCCCCTCATACCCTGCCACCACACGCTTGTGTCGGCCTACACCCCCTTCCCCCCCTGCACAAGCTCAACCACACCACTTCCCACATCCTCACTGCCCGCCACCTCCCTCTCGCCACCTCCATTTCGCCACCGACTCGCGCGCTGCGCGGTCCCGTAAGGCCTCCGCCGATGCCTCTGCCTCCGTCCCCACGCCCACCGCACACACACACACACATGCAGGAACACACACACACACGGGGCACCACCGGCCCTGCCTTTCCCCTCTCCCTCCTTCCCTCCTTCCCCAGGAGGGCACCCACCTTCCACAGGGCTTCAGGCATGTCCAGCAGCGACTGCGCAATAGCCAGCTCGAACAGCGCACGACAGCGCTCCGTCTCACCCAGACTCCGTTCCAGGTCGGCGTATCGAACCCAGGCGCCAACATTGGAGGGCCGCCACTCCAGATATTTCTCATAAAGCTTACGGACGCTTTTGGGGGGTTATTTCGGCGGTTGCAGTAAATAAAGGGGGCCGGCACGGGGGGTTAGCGCGACTGGGGGTCTGACAGGGGAGGTGCCGCTCGCTGGCGGAGCAGGACATGTAGCTGACGAGGTGAGATGAGAGTGGCGTGGGATTGGAGAGGTGGAGGAGGGGCGGTGGCACCGGGGCTGACGCGGGGGGTGTTGGGGATTGGTAAAATGGACACCCCAACAATCCACCACCGCCACAACCCCACCCACCCATGTACATCGCGCTGTGCGTTGCGGGGCCCGCTTCCATTCGCATGCCCGTCCCACCCGGGGGAACAGCCCTCCCTCCCTCCCCTCCCCTTCCCTCCCCTCCCCTCA